AGAGAGTGAGAGAGGGTGAGAGAGGGTGAGAGAGGGTGAGAGAGGGTGAGAGAGGGTGAGAGAGGGTGAGAGAGGGTGAGAGAGGTAGAGAGAAATAAACAGATAGAGAGATAGTGAGTGGGAGAGAGGGTGAGAGAGGTAGAGAGAAATAAAGAGATAGAGAGAGAGAGAGAGAGAGAGAGAGAGAGAGAGACAGGGAGAGAAAAAACACCGTAGGCGGGTCACTCTAAGTTCGAATACCAAGCCCTGTTTAAAATAGCCTGGTGTTTTACCTTACAGTGATTTGATTGCGGTCTCGACAACATGGCTCCGATTTCTGTAAAGTGCAAATTTCTTTCCTGACACAAATACAAATGAATTCTGCTGTGTAAGCAACATATGTTTGTACTGAATTTAATTCTAAGAGGTAAAAACGTATTCGAATGAGTTTGCGTCTCTTCAAAGTTGTTAATAGAAAAGAGTGAAATTAGATCATAATTATAACATTACTTGGCGATGTTATAAGTTTCATTCAAATATTCGACAAAAATTACCAAAGAAAAGAAATTATTTATGCCTTTAAAATAAATCGAATGAACAATGAAAAATAAATGGCACGCTCAGTGCGGCATAAATTTTTTACTTTTATGAATATTTAATTCTCTAATGATCAAAAGTTATAAAATTAAATAAAACGCATTTAAACGAAAAGTTTCCTTTAGAAATTGAAACGAGAACATCTGTCTGTACTACCAATACAATAAGAGATTTTCATTCGAATAATGTATTGCAGTATTGCAAAATAAGACTATAGTCGATATAATGTAAAAATAGTTCAATAATTTATCAATTCGTAATTTGTTGTTTTAATGTTATTATTTTAAAATTATTATTATACATATATATAACTCGAATATTTTTTATTAATTAAAAAAATCGTGTTATTATAAAATGATTTAAAATAAATATGATATTTGACATATTTAGTGTGATATTTTAATCATAACATTATCACTTATATAAACAAATAAATAAATAAATAAATATATATATATATATATATATATATATATATATATATATATATTGAAATGTAATATAAATTTTAAATATGAATATAAAAAACAAACACACATAGACGCGTATGTATGCGCACATGCCGCACATGCCTATATACATATATTTAAAAATAGATTACCATAATTCTTTGGAGTTGTCAGTTTGAATTTTATTCTTTAAAATGTATTTTCATTTATTTCATTTCAAGTAGTTTAATACAATAAAATTCAATAAAATAAAGTATAAAAAATAGATTTTAATCAAATAAGACTTTATACCATTTCATATATACATGAAAAAATAATAATAAAAGGAGAAAATAATTATTAAATATGAAAACAAATTTTTATCTTTGCTATTTATACTATAGAATATGTTTTATAAAGAATTTCTTAATAATTAGAGACAATCCACAGATCTCAAAAACTTATTCATTTTATTAATTATGGTAAAGTAACACACGCGCACGCGCGCACACGCACTCGCACACATACAAAATATGCGATATTATTAATATTATGTTAATCCGGTAATGTTGATATGATAATGATACCAACAATAGTAACAACAATATCAATAATACTAATAATAATAATAAGAGAATAATAACAATAATGAAAATTATAATGATAACTACAACGGTTATACTATAAAAATTAATAGAATTTTAATTTATCATGCACCTGATAACGCGGATAGAATTTTTAGTAAAGTAAGCGTACATTAAAAATACAGAAAGTTCTCGCTGGCATGAAACGAATGTCAAACATGAAAATCAATAGTTGACATTGTACTATTGTTAGCGATCTATCTAGAGAAAAATTGAAGTGTATAATAGATCGATCATCACAGGTCTACTGTATCATTTTTTTTCTCTCCTTTTTCTTCCAAAAACAAAAAAAAAAAAAGAATGAAAGAAAGAAAGAAAGAAAGAAACAGTGAAATACGATAAGTTAATCCGATGGACGTAAAGAAAACGCGAAAGTAAAAATCAATAACAAACTGGCTCGCTCGAATTCTCCAGATGAATTCTGCCAAGAGTACCCACATAATCTACTGCCGACGCCCGGCTATTGGATCGAGTGCTCACGTCAGCAAATTACAACCGACACGATCTACGATGAGAGCGAGAGCGACCGGGAGGGCACGGACATCGATCAGCAAGCGGAGCAATTGCAGCAGGAGTTAGAGCAGCCACTTTCGATCGGGAATAACGCGATGCGACACAGTAATAGGCAGGAGCAGGACTGTCTTTTCGAGGAAAACGAGCTCGACGGCGACGAGTCACCGAAAAAGAAAACCGTAATTGAAGAACAGTGGGAGAAGAGTCAGGTATGATGAATTTGCAACGAATGAATTTTGAACGAATTTCGAACGCCTCCCCAATGCCGTATCGACAATATTTATTTGCATTTATAAAAATGCCCGTATAAAGGTATTTTACATTGGCTTTGAGGCGGCCGAGTGAACGATTCGCTAGAGATTACGATTCGTCGTGTGTCCAATGCCACTTTAAGCATTCAAAATAAAAAATTGCTCCCCCCCCCACCACCACCTCCACCACCACCCACCACCACCCACCACCACCCACCACCACTACCACTCACCACCCACCATCCACCACCCACCACCACTCCCTTCTCGGGTTTGCTTTTATGCGCGACGAAATAATACATTGAAGTATGTTAAATGTAAAATTGTGTTTGCGAATAATAAATCGCTTTTAAAGGATTTTGTTACATCATTTATAGGATTGATAGTGTATATTAAATGCCTTGTGACTATATTTCAATGTTGAGAGTGTGGAGTACAACAGTTTATCAGACTATAAAATAAATTCATAGATTTATTGATTGAAGCATTTGCACTGAAGCATTAGTAGTGAATATTTTGTTATACAATTTTGCAATGAAATGAGCAAGAAAAAAATTCTCAGATATCGAGAGCCTTTACGATTCTCCGTAATTTATAACAAATTGCAAATTAATTATAATACCCTCATACAGTTGTAATTATAATTATAATTTGATATAATGTGACGTAATATAATATAAATCGAGCTTAACTAATAGGAAGGAACAATAGAAATAGAATTGTCAAATCAAGCTTTTATAATGTACGTTTCTTTCGCTAAAAAAAAATTGCCCCCCCCCCCCCCCACCCCCTCCACCACCACCCACCACCACCCACCACCACCCACCACCACTACCACTCACCACCCACCATCCACCACCCACCACCACTCCCTTCTCGGGTTTGCTTTTATGCGCGACGAAATAATACATTGAAGTATGTTAAATGTAAAATTGTGTTTGCGAATAATAAATCGCTTTTAAAGGATTTTGTTACATCATTTATAGGATTGATAGTGTATATTAAATGCCTTGTGACTATATTTCAATGTTGAGAGTGTGGAGTACAACAGTTTATCAGACTATAAAATAAATTCATAGATTTATTGATTGAAGCATTTGCACTGAAGCATTAGTAGTGAATATTTTGTTATACAATTTTGCAATGAAATGAGCAAGAAAAAAATTCTCAGATATCGAGAGCCTTTACGATTCTCCGTAATTTATAACAAATTGCAAATTAATTATAATACCCTCATACAGTTGTAATTATAATTATAATTTGATATAATGTGACGTAATATAATATAAATCGAGCTTAACTAATAGGAAGGAACAATAGAAATAGAATTGTCAAATCAAGCTTTTATAATGTACGTTTCTTTCGCTAAAATCTTAAGTAATTTCTCGTATTTAAAAGACATTGAGCAAATTAATATTTCAAACTATTCGAATCGATTCTCTAATTGGTTTCAAATATATTATTGAGTGATTTTTTTTTTTCTTATTTTTTTTTTTTTTTTTTTTTTTTTTTTTTTTTTTTAGCAAAGAACGTCACTGGATTACGTGCATTAAAAGCCATGGCAACTATTATCAAAGAGCTTGATATAATTTCCGTTCCATTTCTCCAATTTTTATAGGATATAAAAAGATAAAGCGAAAAGTTTGCTAATGAAATGCTAGAAAAATATAAATTAATATTGATGTTTGAGAAGCGCTTAAAACAAAAAATTCAACTGATATTGAAATTCCCATTGAAAGACATAAAAGCCCCAAGCAGAGGCAATGAAGTGAAAAGGACAATGGATAAGGGAATTTCGTCATTTAAACGTTTCATAAACATTAACGGTTTCGTAAAGAAAAGAAAAAAAAAAAAAAAAAGGAAAAAAAACAAGAAAGACCACTTTTCCCGCGTTTCCCCGAGCAATGATCACATTCCATCACATACGGCCTTTAAACAATAATCTGCCTCTTATTTTCACAAGCAAATGCAAGCACATTACGGGTATTATTGCTACGATGCAGGGTTTCGAGCTTACCTCCGTCGAGCAGGAGACGTACGAGAAATACTTTTATGGGACCGAGCACTGGAATTATTTTACCAACGACGAAGACTTGGGGCCCGTTATACTGAGCATCAAGCAAGAGATGTTAAACAGCAGGGACCAGTTTCGTATACTAGTACGGGCTATCAGCTACACGGTGCACGGTCTCATACCTGCCAGCTGCGTCTTTGCCGATAGGTAAGTTCCTATTAAACGGCTTATCTTTCATACTTCGCGCTACGTTTATTTCTTGACTGTTATAAGTGCCATTGGTTAATGAAGATGAATACTATGAGCGCTCGCTCGATCGATCCTCAAGGTCTATAAAGCTTCTATTCTTGAATAATAGATCGAAGAATATCAATGTCGCCGATTATTCGATAGCACTAGGAAATATAAATCCTACTTCATACTTATCTTTTATACATAATTCGTGAATTATTATATACTCTCTGGTTGTTTTTGTTTTTGTTTTTGTTTTTGTTTTGTTTTGTTTCTTTTTTTTCGCTCTTTCTTTAGAATTATTTTACGTCAAATAAATGATGATAGCGATTACGTTTTACATAAAACAAAACAAAAACATCGAATTAACAATATCAGTGTGAAACAAGTTGTCTCTTAGCCTGCTTGCAGAATTTCATATCTATATAAGATTGAAATGAAATGAAAATAAAAAATAAAATAAAATTATATAAAATAAAAAATACTGATAATTCCTTGGCCTTCCTTTCCGAAAATGATGCATCAGGGTAGCCTGAAAATTCCTTTCTTTATCTTCTACACAGTACAAGTGATTGAATGCTCTACTTGAAATTATAATGGTATGTAACGAGAAAGTGCAATTTGTAATATAAATGTAAATTCAGGGCACATTTAATGCCATAATTTGAAAAGGCGTGGCCCCTATTACCGAGATAAAGAGCAGTTTCATATTAAATACATATAACTGCAAATAATCCAATAAAACTACAAATATGCAAACTATTGCATAATTTTGTAGATAAAAAAGATGTGTGGCATATTTTTGCCCCTTAAGTACTTGCCCTCCTCGGCTATTATTGTTGGTTTTGACATTTTATAGTATCAAATATTTTACACTCGCAAATGAATGACTTATCGCGGTTACGGCTATTTTTCATACCGGTTGGGAAATTTAATCCTTTGAAACTTTGATAAACGGGCTTAAGAATTTTAAGGAAGAAAAAAATGTTGAATACTTCACGCTCAATCGACATTCTTAAGTAATATATTACCGTGTATTTTTCGTGAAAAAATGAAGGAAAAAGATGAAAAAAAAATCCCTCGACCAGACTAACCTATTTTAACTTACTTAAAAATTCACTTGGTTGCATAGATATAATCGCGAAGAAGTGGTAAAAAGCTTAGGGAAAGAGGTAAACATCAATCCAACATCAATCCTCCGCTGACACTTGGGCAACTTCCCGACACCCCCGAGGAGCTGCTCAAGTTAGATCAGGTTTTCATCAAGTCGGAGTTGAAAGTTGGCGTGATCTACGTGCAGGAGGGTCAGTACGCGGAGGAGGAGATCCTTGACAACAACGACGAATCGCCGAGTTTCGAAGAATTTCTGCAAATACTCGGGGAGAAGGTGAGACTAAAAGGTTTCGATAAGTATAAGGGCGGCCTCGACACCGTTCACGATCTCACCGGACTCTACTCCGTTTACACCAATTGGCGAGGAATCGAAATCATGTTTCACGTCTCGACGATACTGCCCTATGAAAAGCACGATGTACAAAAAGTTAGTACCATTTACATTTTACCACTAATTCGCGGGCATTTAATCACTGCTTTACTTAAACAAATTCATATTCACAGCATTATTACAATATTACCAGCTGTCAACATTATTTTAATTATAATCTTTAAAAATTAACAATAACTTTCCCTTTAATATAGAATTTAATTATACTCGCACGTGCAATAAAGCTTCGATTCGCTAATAATATAGAATGTTTAACTTTTCTTATATTTATCTTGATATGCTCGATAAAAAAAAATCTTAACAAATATCATTGTTAGACATAAGTGAAGTTGATGTTGAATGTGAATTTAGGTGCTTTTTCTTCTTTTTTTTTTTTTTAAATTCCATTTTTGAATATTTCAAACCGTCGAGCAAAAATTTTTGTTGTAAAAAACCGTTGATATGGTGAGCCTTGAAAATATTATAAACAATTGTCATTAGATAAACTATAAATACAATAATATAACGTACGCATAGTTTTATAAATAAAATCGTTACTTAAAATTTATCATAAATAAAGTAAATGCTTATGTTAATGTTAATTCCAAACAATTACTATTCTAAATTAAAGAAAGAAGACTTGTAAAAGCTATTCGTTTTTATTTGCCTTTTTGCCGGCTTTATTGTTTGTTATAATTTTTCATTTATATTTTTAAGATTTCTTTAACCTAAATAAGTAGTAAATATAAATAAGAAAAGCCCAACCTCGTTGTTAACGGAATAAAATACTAAACGAGCATGCACAATACGTAAGAATAACATTTGACGCGATCCATCTACCAATGATCTTCCGACATATTTGAAATTATTATTATAAAAATTTCTAACACTATTTTTCAAATAAAATCATTATTAATGCCAATAAGAGATACAGAGCATTAAGAAAATTAATTATTCATTTGTGTTATTGTTATGTAACAATTTTAAACTACTTTATATTAAACCGTATGATTTCTTTCAGCTGCAAAGAAAAAGGCACATTGGCAACGACATTGTTTGCGTAGTTTTTCTCGAAGCAGATAATACAAGTTTTAGTCCAGCTTGCATAAAGTCACACTTTTTACATACATTTATTCTCGTCCGTGTAAGTCCACGTATTAAAAGGAAAATCACGCGATACGAGGTATCCGTGGTTACTAGAGATGAAGTTGGCGCCTATAAACCTTACCTTTGGGAGCAAAGTGTCTTTGAAAAAGGTAATTTGAAAAAGGTACAGAAATAAGGGAAACGGGCCAAATCATAATCCATCCTATACGTACGTTCAAATAATCATAATGAAGGGATAGAACGTACATATCAATTCTATAATTGACGATGTAGCGTAAAATTTTCATTTCTTTTCTCTTTCAGCATTTATATTCTCAATTGTCATTGTTGAGTATAAAAATTATATACAAACATTTTATTTTATTTATTTTAGGACCGATGTTTCGCGAATGGATACTAACGAAGATAGTGAATGGCGAGCGAGCGAGTTATTCTGCGCCGAAATTCGCTAGGATGCAAGAAAGAACGAGAAGTCAAATGCTTGAAGATATAGTAGCAAATTTAGCAAATCATGCTGAAACTGGACAAATACCGAAACCTTATAGGTAAATTATATAGCTCAATATGCAATTAAATAATCACATAATGTAAATATTATTATAGAATATTAGAATAGTACTAGAATTATTTATTTGTCGATTAATTTTGTAGGCGTGGATCATGGAGACCAATTGGTCATATGAGACCATCGTCGCCATTATTAGACTCTGTTAGAGATCAATTTGAAGATTACGATCAATTGGCCAAGGACTTTACTAGAGTATTTTTAAATAATGCCGAAAACTTAGCTATTAATGCAAATTTATTTGACGTATCGTTCCTGGTGCCTGGTCAACAAAAACAAAAAGTTCGATTTATAGGGGTACGAGCCATTCTAGGTGTTAGAAGCCGGTATTTATTGAAAACTGCTCTATACATCGATTGAGAAATCTTCATCAAATTATATAACATTTCAAAATAATGTTATTTAGCGTTTTTCAAGAAATGCTTTATGGAATTCAAGCAGGTTTTGGAAGTCCACAAGTGCCGGTTGCTGAATTATTAGCTAGACCAGCACCAACGCTACTCAGTCCACAAAAGCCAAAGAGTTCAAATTTTCTGCAGGTGCCGGACGTTGAAAGTCCTAGGTAAGGAAAAAATTTCCCAATAGCCTGTTTTACAAATATGAACTTTGTAGATTTCTAATGAGGAACAGAAATACCATGCGCTGTGAGCAAATAATGCATTGTATGCATCGTAATTTTTTTTTTTTTTTTTTTTTTTTTTTTTTTTTTTTTTTTAATAATTCATTTAAAAATGCTCGACCATAAAAGCTATCGAATACCTGGTGTGTTAGGGAACAAAAAAAAAATACAATAAGTTTCTGTTCTAGAGGTGAGATTAATTTTTATCACTATTTATTGTCATTAAATGTAAGCTATTTATATATATATATATATATATATATATATATATATATATATATTTATTTATTTATTTATATGTAATTGTCGTGTAATGTTTAAAGGCACATCCGTGTCTCCTATCCTTCACAGTACCGCATGATTATTGTCAATAAATATTTATACTTTTTTTTTATAATGAATATATCGATACTTTTTTTTATACCTATTCTATGTATTACAATATCATATTACAATACTATGTCCTTTCAGTATTTAAAAGTACTCTTAACATTAAGCATGTTTCTCTTTGTAAACATGTAAATAATTATCTGTAAATTATCTGTCGTTATACCAATATTTCTCTATATTGTAAATTTTTTATTATTGTTTGTTTCTTAATATCAATCAAGCATGCAGCATATTGTATTTGATATCTTATTAATATATAGCTTTCAATAATAAACTTTCGTTTGAATTTATTGTTTGAAAAGCAAAATCGACTTTATTATCAATAAATCTAATTAAAATAATCCATGGTAAAAGAAAAAAGAAACGAAAAAGAAGAAGGAAGAAAAAAGCGTTAATTCCTTTAAAGTGTTGTGCACATGTTTCGCTATATATTTGTCAGTATCCAAGCAAATCCTTAAATATTAGACAATTTTATATTTTATACTGTTAGACTCGTACGATGAGATATAAAACTCTTTGGCGAGCGTAAACATTGATTGATTTTAAACGGATATCCAATCATGGCAATACAGCCTCGCGTGTTCGTCTCTCTTACCCTCTCGACGCTCGTCAACAAAACAATCTCAATGTTTCTCCAAATCCCAAAAGTGCCGTCCAGCGATTTCTGTGAGATACTGGTTCTGATCTGTTTAGGCCTAAAAGTGTGCCGTCCTCGCCAATGGTAAAGCGGGCATTCTCGAGGCTGGGCACGATAACCGCTGGCTGGGGTCGTAGCATACGTAAACACGGCAGCAACACACTGTCCAGCGAGGATAGGAAGCGCTGGGCCAGCTCCCAGGATTGTAGTAGTATGTTGTAATTGATAAGACTTTTATCGGTATTTCATTTCTTTTTTTTTTTTCTTTTCTTTTTTTTTTTTTCTTTCTTTTTTAACACTATCTTTAAGACTGAAATTAATTAACGCGGGAGTCACTATTTCTCCTAGACTATCGTGGAAAATAAATTTTGAAGTTTTGTTCGTTCTTTCGTCTAAATTTGATAATAGCTACTCTACGGCTTTATACGAGGGGTCATAAATAATGACGAGGCATACCATTTTCTTCAATTTTTTTACTTAAAAGCTCTATCGGTACACACTTCAAATATGATGTTTTGAGGGAAAGAAAAATAATACGTTTAATAAAGTGATGTTACAAGTTATCCTATGCATAATTTAAACATGATTGCTCAAATAATGTAATATCGATGATAAATATGAACGAAAATATCTAAAGTAATAGAATAAATAAATAAAAACTTGCGTCTTATACGAGAGTTATATTTTAAATATCTTTTTAATTTTCAGATAAAGACATGAAAGACAAAGACAAGGCGGCTCAATCGCTAGCCGTTCCCCGACTAAGCGTTTGCGCCGATGCGCAGAAAGTCGATCGAACGAAATTAGCGCAGACTGAGGTATTCATTAATTACACCAATAATATAAAATAATCTAAGAATATGCGAGAGTGTGACGAAAACGCCTTAGTGACTTTTGATAACAATATAAGACCAGTGATAATTGTCAAATATAAAATAAAAAATCGATTCTTATAGTCTTGGTACGATTCCGGTGGACGATATCACTTTATTGATGATATTTAATTTGACGAGACCGAGACATAGAGTGAGAAGATTCTGCTGATTTTTTGATATTTTTTGCAATTGAATCCCATAGTTCGACATCATAGAATTCGACCCGGAGACATTCCGCATCCTACTGGACTACCTGCACACGGGCTCCTGCCCATTGACTTGCAGCAACATTCCCGGCCTCATTTGCGCGGCTGAGCACTACGATCTTCCCGAGCTTCTGCAGGCGTGCTTTCACCACGCCAAACAATTTTTGCGCATTGAGATTGTGTGCGTGATGCTCTGCGCCTTGGAGAACTATTATTGGCGCTACACCTCGGCCTCCGAGCTCGTCAACATGATCCTCGCCTTCGTGGAAACCCGGGCCTTTCAGCTCTTTCAAAATCCCGATTTCCTCATGCTCAGTGAATCTATGGTACAGATGATCATGAATCGTAGCCTCGAGGTCGTGGAGATCAAGAAATTTGAGGCGATGCTTAATTGGGCGAAGCATCGAATTAAATCTATGTCGGACGTCGACGCCAACATCGAGTTCAAGCATATTATGGAGAGACTCAGCAAAGATCTCAAACTTTACAGGATTACACCACAGGAGCTTATTAAGGTGAGATGGGCTTTTACGAACTTTTTAGATCCCTTTCAAAGCTCTCCTTTATCGAAACTTCTTGAATTAAAATGGCCCCTCAACGCAACATCTTCGCAATTTAGTTTCCTGCTAATCGGCGCATATTATTTACATCGACCAACGATTATTTCATTAATATTTTGCTTTTCAGATTGTATTGCCCTCGAAATCAATAAGTCACGGGAGAATTCTTGAAACCTTGATGTTCCAAGCAAACTCTGGAATGTATCGAAACGTCGATGATTACCTGGAGGCCTACCAGAATCGACTTCAAAATCAAGAAAGTCTCGACGGTGGCTTATAAGTGCACGCATTGATTGCTGAAACTGAAAAGAAAGCTAAGATACCTGATAATTTTAAGAACAAGCATGACTTAAGAACTCAAGTTTCTATATAAACTTTCGATAAGTAATGTACAGAAACAATTCCTAAATCTCTCACTTACAGAAATACAATAAACCTTAACGAGATAATAGGACGAGCGTTTCTTAACGAGATATGTAGCTTTCTTGCTAGAATAGAAGAGAATCGAAGAGCAAATAACATTGAAATAAACTTTGATGGCGTTAAAAAGTCTGATAAATATATGTGAAGAAAAAAAATATACAAAGTGTCGAGGAATTTCCACTGGAAATGTTTGGGTATAATACTTTTTGAAACAAAAAAAAACAAAAAAAAAAAAAAAAACAAAAAACAAAAAAAACAAAAAAAAACAAAAAAAAACAACAAAAAAAAATTAAAAAAACTTGGATAAAAAAAATATGTTATTCGAATGCAGAAGGATGCATAATTCTAATGTCATATTCTAATGATAAAAACAAAAAAAAACAAAACAAAACAAAACAAAACAAAAAACGAAGTATTAAAGTGACAATGACGCATGCCATGGATAAGGGCACAAGCTCTTCCATAAAGTTAGCTACGTGATTAGCTCAGGCTGCAGTAAGTAATAAAATTGCTAAGAATAAGGGAGGAATAAACAAATAGACATAGTTGGAATTTAGTCAGCCAAGAAGTACTGGTGATCAACATATTTTTTATACTAGTTGTCTCAAAAATCAATACCTCCTTCAACAATCATTAATCAATTGTTTTGAAACTGAAGTTTCCAGTATCAGTTTCTAAATAGCTTATCTGTCTGTTGTGTAGAGAACTCTTTTACCGAATAACACGATAAAGTTGTCTTAAAGAAACGCCAGTACTCAATAATTATGATCGAATGTGACAATCTTTACGTTAAAAGGCCGCATTAAATTAAACCAAATACGATAAAGCAAGTTAAAGAGCATTAATATGAATAGTTGATAAATACCAAATACAATACTAGTAATAATATTGGTAATTATAATATTATATCAATTATTATCGAAAGAGTTGATGTTGAATGTGAGGGAAAATCGTTTGAAGCCTGTTCTGTTTTTTAACGTAGATTTTGTATCTCTAATACTCTAAGTAAAAGATTTAAAAGAAAAACAAAACTTCTGTAAGTGAGAACTAAAACCGTGCGCGATTGATCTCATAATATATGTATATATATATCTATGTATGAATGAACATATATACATATGTTTCTTTCGTATAAATATAAAAAAAGGCGAAAATTTAAATAATAAAAAGTTATATAAAAAAATCCTTGAAAGTTGCGACCGAGAGTAGGCGTGAGTCGATATCATCAAAAATTTTAGACAAAACGTTTAGTCTCTCGAGCCACATACTATAATATATATATATATATATATATATATATTATTAACGTCGGTGAGTCGAGTTGTCATTTCAACCACTCGCGCGCTGCATTGTGACAAATAAACATATCGAGAAACTTTACGAATAAAATTTATATTTATACTTACTATATTGAAGAAGAAAAAGTGTATTGTTTTTTGATAAAGTTACATCTTTTGTTCTCATGCAAATTTGGAACAACGTACATCGTTTATTGCGTCGAAGTACAATGAAAGTACCAGTACTGACGTTATTCAATAAAGGATATAAATTTAATTCGTGAGGTTCCTTTTGAAACCAAGAGAACAAAGTTTAAAAAATCTAATCGTTTAACTCCGAGTCAAAATAAAATATTTTTTACATAACCACAAAACCCACATTAATATCGTCAAAGTTTTTGATGAGAAGCGCTTAAAAAATTCGATGAGGATTGAATGTTTCGAAACGTTGATATTGTAGTTAATATTTTCTCTAAGATCGAGTATCGTGAAACAAATAGAAGCGATTACGCGCTTCCAAATATCAAAATCTCCAATACATTCTCGACCGCTACACAAAGTTAATGCGCGTCATAATGAATAGAATAAATTACAAAAAAAAAAAAAAAAAGGAAAAAAAAGAAACTAATAAAATTAATGAAGCGCTCGAAAGGCGTTCGCCAAAACTATTAAGTGTCTTACTGTTCAGGTTTACGGCTGGATAATTCTAAATTCTTTTTTTCATGTATTTACAAACAGTCTACATTTAAAATGGCGCTCAATAAGATAATCTATTATCTCTATCATGTGTTTTAATTTTAAAATACTACGTTTGCTTTTTAATTATCTTAATTCAAAAATCAAAATTCGGCATTAATGGCTACTCTACTCTATTCATACCTCTATATTTTTATTGAAGCAAATCGATGGATGTATTACTTGAATGGATCTAATATTGTATATTGATCTAATAATTGTTTGTAATAATAATAATGAACTAAAGAAATGATTTTCTTCCTATATTTTTATCCAAATAAAAGAAATACTATAATTGTCCAGCCGTTTCCGTCTACTGTTCAACTGTACATGTACTATGCAAATATGCAAATATGCATATATATATATATATATATATATATATATATATGCACAATATAAATAAAGTTTACATTACTATATTAAAGTTTACAAAAAAGATAAAACGCTAATCAAATACAAGACATAAAATGTGTTGAAAATTCTAATAATTCAATCTATACAGAAATTAAAAGTTTTTAATTTTTAAAATATTTTAAAAATAAAGTATTTTATAACTAAAAGATAATGTTTAATTTTATAAATTTAATTACAACATTAATTCACAATTGATATAAATGCTTGTTGCATTAGTACATATTGATAATAATTTTTACAAAATATTTAAAAACATAATATTACGTTTACAAATATTATAATTGAATAATGAAAATTTTTAAAAAGTTATTCATCAAATATAAGGTGTAAAAGCAAAAACTTTCGACCTTAATTACTTGTTAATGTTTTCGCGCAAAATAGAATATTAAATTACTAATGTTTACAGAAACACTTTCCAAGCCATAGAAATAAAAACTTGTACACTTAAATTAATAATGAAAGACAATTTGAAGTAATTGATTTTTCTAATTCAATGAATTTAGATTTTTTCAGAATTTAGAAAAATAACTTATTATTTTAACATTTTTAAATTGAAGTTTTTATCAAAATCTTTTTCTTAATATTTCTAATTTGTATACAATGATATTATATGATATGAATATACACAATGATATATCAAATACGTATATATAAAATGAATGGTGGATTGAAAAAATGTTAAAGTCATGTATTTAGTAACGGGTGTTAAAAAACTCGTCAATGACATTTAGCTTTTAAAAAGTGGAAAGTCTCCTTTTTATATCGAAGTTATTCATTGTTGTTTTGCCAATTGTGAATATTCTATTTGTTTTTTATGTAAAGTTTAATAGAAGTCAAATTTGAAGCAGCAAACTGAATAATGAAAACTGATATATGTGTGAATAATACATGTACATTATAAAAATCGTAATATAAGTATCGTCATCCATTACCTTATAAATTAGGATAAATTTTAAACGATCAAGCAAACCCATTATAATGCATACAAATAAATATTCTATATATAGTGAAAAACTAAGTAATAAAAGTTTATAAATGTTGAATTTTTTGAAACAGAAATTAATTTTTCTTTTATATTAAGAGCTGCTTTACAAAAATATATTTACAAAACATATCCTTATATTTTATTTAAAAATGAAAGATAGAGTGCAGTTTTGTGAAAAGTTTGAAATGAAAATATTTTGGTATAACATGGCTATTAAAAAGTAGAAATTTTTAATTACACGAAAAATTCTAATTTTTCCTTCTGAATAAATCTATTACTATATTACTATAAATAAATGATTATTTATGGTCTTATTCGATATCTTTTTACTACACATACATTTTCTTATGATTTAAAAAATAAGTCAAATAATTATAGTTAATATAACTAATATATTATGAATTATAACGAATATTTCAATTTTATTACGAGATTTTTTCTTACGATGATGATAGTGTAAAATAAATGTTTAAAATAATAATAATAAAGCTACTTATTTTAATAATTTTTCAATAATACCAAAGTTTAAGATGTATATCGTATTTTTAAAATATATATTTGCGGTATTATAAATTTCCCTTACTTTTAAAAATAATATGATTATGATAATCAAACATATTTTTGCATATATGAGTAAAATCTATCCTCCAAAGCAAGTGTTACTCGGGTTGGTTATATCCGATCGATCAATGATCATAACGGTGTGCTTAAACAATGCATTATTATTTAAAAAAAAAAAAAAAAAAAAAAGAAAAGAAAAAAAACTTATTTCTTCGAAGAAAGTTAATAATAAAAAGTAATTGAATTGAATTAACGTACAGTAAATTGCTTTCCGAAATATAAATAAATAGCAGCTTCATCGTTTCATAAAACGTGGGTATTTGTAATTGTTAAAATACTCGTTTTAGACTTTCAACACATAAGCTGCCGTCTCTTAAGTGATCGTTGTTGATGTTGTTATATTATTGTTGTTACGAATCCAAAAGTGCAGGCGAACACCAACGTGTGTCTATATGTACTCGATGCAAAATCACCAAATAATTTAAAGTAATGAGGAAATTTGCATAACGAGATGGAAACGTTGTTTAGCCAATGTATCACACGCGCGCGCGCGCACGCATCATATCATGCCATCTGCATTTTGGAGAAAATTCTTGTGTGTGTTCTAAGGTATAATAAGAAATAACTATGCAAATATCTTTACGTGTGTTTGTCTATCGTGCGATAAAAATGATGTGGCTAACTTATGATTATAATATGTTAAATTAAAGGACAAATTACAGTCTGTCGAGTGTATTAATTTTATAAATTTTTATTATACGAATGGACTCTCATAAATGAAATAAAAATTTATTATCGGCTTTATACCACAAAGGTATTATCTATATAATATTAGTAGGTGAAATATGTAAATATTTATTCATTAGGTTTGCATGTTATAAAATTTTATATAACAAATATTAAATTATATTTTATATCGTTGGAATTTTTATTTTTTACATTGAAAATGAAAATGTTCCTAAAGTTCGTTCTCCAACTCAGACTTTGTTGTTGAGAAATACAAAATTTAATACCTGAATAAACAAGAATTTCTTGATTAAAAGGATTTTTTTAATATGCTTAAAATATGCTTTTAAATGTGCTTTTTAAATAAATAATCTTTTAAATATATTTTAATTACTATATAGTACAAACTATTTACTGCAATACGAAAGATGTAAATTATACTAGAATTTGATTTTCAAATATATGTAAACCACTTTATACTCGTCTTATTACTAATCGTGAGCGTCCATTCATTTTGTAATAAAAAGTTCATTCGCTAAATATGTAAAAACTTGCTTATCCTCTTCGTCTTATTGTCTCATCGTCATAAGCGACCATTATTAGCCATCGATAATCATTTTAATAACAATTATACGATAAAATTGAGAAGTTAAAAGGAAAGAAATCGCACAATTTAGTGAAATTCCTGTTTAAACCCCTCTCGACTTTTATTTCGATACGGTAGCGTAAAAGCGAGACTTCAGCACTGCTCGTAATGCTGCATTTGCGTGGTTAACGAAAAAAAAAAAAAAAAGAAAAGAAAAAGAAAAAGAAATAGGAAAAATAATGGAAACTTAAGCTGCGAATGAACAAAAACTAAATTTAAATGACAAATGATTTGTTGTATATGAAGCTACTGTGATGTTACTGTTGAATATAATGAAACAAAAAAAAAAAAAAATATATATATATATATATATCTATATACATGACAGAAAATTGGTCATTATTGTCAAAAAATATTTTATTTAACATAATAATTTTTTTTAACTATTTGGTATTACTTTAATAATCCCTGATTCCTATTCTTCATTGTTTATATCAATTAATGATTAATTACTATCTTGATAGTTCACAATTAAAAACATTTCAATATTTTCGATAAATATAGCACTTAGTTGATGATAGGTAAATAACCGAAAATTCACTTAATTATATCTTTTTATATAAAATCACATTTATTTACATTTCTACACTATTTATGAGTCTCTGTACAAATCATCGATCACTGATGATGATCGATATAACGATTTATGAGTTATTCTGTTCGAGTTGCTTTTAAAAAAAAATCGAGTCACTGTATTAAAACTTCGTTTCTGGCCATTTAAGAATTATTCTCTCAACTCTTGAAACAAGCCAGATGCAGTCTCTTTAAAATGCTAGGTATGCGACTTATGTACAAATTTGTACATTCATATCTTACGCAGTCACTTCTATAAATTTATTTAGCGATTTCCGTGAGAAATTAGTATTACTTTATTGTCCTTGAAAGAATTATTTCACCATTTTGCTCGTATACTCCAATCTTTTGGTGTCCAATGTAAGCATTTGGGATCTATTCTTATCTTTCTTTTATCCATAGCTGATGTATGCTGGTCAATGATATCCCTAAACAAACGAAAAAAAAAATTTGTATTTTAATAAAAATAAATAGTTCTGCTATAATTCAGTATTTCAAATAGTCTGTTGGCATTTACGAACTTTCACTTATATATTTTCACTTTACTATGAAATAAATACATTGCCCGACTATGACAATGGACTATTGTTATTCGTTGCAAGTTAGTAAGGATTTTCTTTATATATCTGTAGAATCTATTATTTATTACATTAGAATAAATTTTACATTTAGTTGAAAAATTCAAACGAGAAAGAAGACTTTGAAATTCAGGCATAAATTAAATATAAACTATTGTCACGCAACAAATTACACTTTCAATGACGCATTAGTTTATACTTATGAAACTTCAAGTGATATAATAATTAAAATATCATATATAAGATAATACTCACCTATTTAAAGTAACAATATATTGTCCTTTATAATAATTAATAAGATTAAGATTTTGTAAAGTTGAGATCACATCTTCTTTTTTAATAGAAGTAAGTTCACAAATTTCATTTATCGTAATTTGTGGCTTTTCGTTATCGATAACAGGTTTGACATTAAGTAGAATATCTAATATCGTATGTGCCCAATAACTTCGGTAAGATAATAATCCCAAATCCGATAGTGGTTTTTCTGGAGAACCAGTTTTCCCCTCAAATTTAGAAAGTTCATAAGAGAATTCTATTAGTAGTTTACCATAACCTTTCCTTTGAAACTGAGGCATTGTAAGAATACACGCAACATTATAATCTTCTGTCGACTCTTTTTCTTTGGAGAAATAGCCTACTATATGAAATCCCCGACTATCAAATTCTGTCATTACATAAAACAAAAATGGATCCGTATCATAGTACAGTGTTTTATGATCAAGAAACAACTTTGCTAGTAGACAGAGATTTTGTGCATAATTCTTATTTTTTCTTCCGTCTATTTCAAAAAATGATATAGACCCTTTTCTGTATATTTCATTACCTGGTGGATGTCGCAAATTGCATTTTGCTAAATGTCTTTCTAAACACTTTCGACTCTTACGATACTTTAAGCAAAATTCACAAATATATATACAAGCAAGATTAACCATTTCTTGTGGATAAGGACTGAAGTACCAAGGTTTTATTCGATGTCTGCCTAATTCAATTAATTCTATGTTTTTCATCCTAGTGACTACATCATCGTGATGATGGGCAACTAACGAACCCGTAGGTCGAGGACCAGCTGGAGGATGCTGTGGTGCTCCGTCTTGAGAATCTTCATTTTCTATAAAAGTCGCTTTCCTTTTCCTAGCCATTTTCTTTTGTAATGCCGCTTGAAGTACAGCCGAACCATTTACTGGCTCATTATTAATAATACTTGGACTCTGTGGCCTGCTAGGTATTTGCTTTTTTGGAGTAGCTGCTCCAGTCCCTGGTGCAGTTGCTCCATCTCTTCGTGGAAATTGAACTTTTCGAGTATCTAAACAGTCTTCTGTAACCCATTCGTCTAACCTTTTGTTGACTAAAGAACAATATTTTAGTATATAAAATAATTTAATTAAGCGAATAAAATATACGCAGCATTGCTTCTAAAATGGTAAATTTATGAAAATAATAAATTTACTTAAACAGTGAATTAGATGTAAACGATTGTTTGGCAACAAATTTATTTCATAAATATTGAAAGAAAGAAAAGCTCACACGTTAATAGATTCAATCGATTGAATACTTTTAAATGTTCTCTAAATCCATTCGCAATGGTCATTGATGTTTATATTTCACTTTTGATTATCTTTAAAATCATTCGATGTTTGTAATCAAAGACAACATGTAAACAGATTAAGCTTTACCATATTAGAATCAATCATAAAATAATAAAAAGAACCGGGTACTTACAATCTACATAATGAATGTAATAACATTTTAAACCTTGAACGTCTTTTATACTGATAATCTCGGCAAGGGCTGAAAGAATATTTAAATTATAATACAATACTTATAGAAAACATAACCTAACCTAAAAAGAATTCATCTAGTTAAATTATCAACAATATACGTAATACTAAATCAAGATTAATTCGTTCATTAATTTTAAATGACACACTTCGCACATTATAAGAGTATAAACTATCTAATTACATGTTGATACACTGCTAACATGATAAATTTGAAAAACTATGATGTGCACTCCGTAAAGCTGTACAAATTTCAAACCAGAAATTTGTACTCACGTACAATAAGTACCGAGATACTTATTACAAATTTCGACTGTAACAATCCTTAAAATATACAAAATACTCACGCCAATCTTCCGTTCCATTCATTCTCACCGGTAAACGACATCCTTCTACTAATGAATTCTAAAAGTGAGGTTAAGAATATTTAATGTCACATTTGAACAATACCGTAACACTTAATAAAAAATTACTGAAATAAAACTAATCCTGAAAAATCAAATCTTACCACCGAATCGCATATTGTTTCTCTGTCGTCGTGTTCTTCGATCATCTCAGTCAAAATCTTCACGAAATTACCTACAATTTTCTCGCAACCACCAAGATTGTTTTGAAGCGTTTTGTAGCCTACAACTTGCAATGAGGAGACGCCAGCGCCTCTAGAAACTACATGTACTAAAGCGCTTTGACATGTTAACTTACCTGCCGAACATTTCCCGATTGTGCGCACCGGAGCTTCCCCTCCATTGGCTCTTACTTTACGCGCACATTACGAAATAAAATGGGCAAAACACCCGTTTGTAATACTGCGCTACAAGCACGGTACGCTGTCAATGTATGCCATAAGCAATAATTTCGCTTCCTAGTTCAATCGTAAGCTCAAGTATTTCCTCGTAAGCCTTTCTTTCTTCATTTTTTTAATATATTATTTATTGATGTTCTATGGAGAATGATGGATGGACGGAGCGTTTCTTGCAAAATAAATAAATGTAGTTTTATGCCTTTGAAACTTATATATATGGGCCATTTCTTTCGACGGAAATAAAAATATGATTAACTAATATATTACCAAAGGAATCATTGAACTAAATATTTCGAGGCAACCTTTTCTCACCCAATCTTTGACCCTTGTCTTACGAAATGCCTTACGAATTATAGCGTAAAGGTACTTTAAGAAGTTAGATTAGTTAATTTTTAACACTGCACGCATAAAAAGTTATTAACTGTATAATTTTAATACGCAATCTGTGAGTTTATGCATGGAGTATATGCAAGAAGTAGGGAAGTAATTTAAAAGAATTACAATAACCAATTGGACAATTTCATTGTATATATGCTTATTTATTATAACATATTATTGTAAAAAATAAAATAATGCCGATTTTATAATAATGTAAAATGACATATTATTTATTCTATAGATATTAAATATAAATACGTGAAAATAGTGAAAAATCAGAAATTGTTATACAATGTCTGTAGATATTTATATCAAAAAATGTTTTCATGATCTCATAACTTTGATAAATAAATTTGGCAATTTAGCAATTTGATAATCGCTAATAAAAAATTTATTAGTTATTACAAGTTTAATAAAATAATCAATTAAAGGCCAATTTTTTACTTCTTCACAATAGGATTAGTAGAATTATTAAAATGATTCAATTAAGAAATTTGAAAGTTTCATTATATATGGAATAAATAAAAAGAATTTACTAATCTTCCATTCAAAGTCATTTTAACATTTACATAAAGTACATAATTTTATAATTTTTTCATATAATATTTTACTATTTCGTGGTTATATATTTCATTGGTTCATGATATTTCATAAAGAAATTGTCTTAACAGTCGATTTTCTTTCAATTTTTTTTCCAAGTACTTTTTTCCTAAGGTACTGTTGTTTTTTACATTTTTTTTTCTTGAAAATAATTTTCTAATTATTATTCTGGCACATTTAAATTTATACATTTCATATATAGTTTTAATTTTTTTTTTCTTCTTTTATCACTTCTTAGGAGACAATCTATGGTCTAATCGTCAGCATTTAATAATTATATGTTTTATCTTATCTTGATATCTTTACAACGACACTTCTTTTCCGGCAGTCAATAACAATTCTTCGTTTTTCATTACGAATTTTTTGCTACGAATAATGAAATATGGCATGTCGATATATATATTTGTTATAAAGCATACATAATATACAGTATGGAATATAGTTTTCTCTTGCTAATAAATAAATGTAATAATAGATTAATGGATTAAACTAATAAAGAATCATCATAAACATGCTAAGACATAATTTTATAAGAATTATAATAATCAAATTATAATAATTATAAGAATGATACTTGCAATAATAAAAATTTAATTTGCAAAATATATTTGCGTTACAAATAATGATCAAGCTTAATTAAAATATATCAACGAGATTAAGTTGATTAAGTATCAAGTTGATACAAATAATATTAAAAGTAATTAAAACTAAAACAGATATGTTTATAAATTTTTATTTACATAACTGTACGAATTTTTATTATCTAAAAATGTCTAATGATTAATTCACAAATCTTTTTGACTTAGTAATTATCTTACTATATTAAATGTGTTATTTGTTGTTTTTAGCGGTGTTTCTTCGATAATATATAATTTTCTTTATTCAAGGTGAATCCGGTTGAAGATAATAAAGTAAATAACGTAGAAGATAATAAAGTATTTTGATAATTATCGAGATATGTTTTATTTGCTATTTTAATAATTCAAGTAATAGTTAAATACCCTATTATTTAAATTACAAATTATAATATTCAAATTTAATTGACGAGAGTAAGATTGTTTATGTTATGAAATTTTTATAATTAAATTTAGGGACAAATTTTTAAATAATAATTTTATGTGGTCACTTACATTAATTGTAGAAGGCATTAACCTTATCTATTACGCGAATAGAAATTTTCGTACTAAATTTTTTGATTAAAAAAACATGCCAACCCTTCATCGTTACAGATAATAATTTTTGTTGTTATTCCTATTAACGATAATTAGTTATAATGACAATTTAAGATATACGTACCTTCTTTTCTTCAGGCTATTTAATGATATTAATGAATAAACATTGTCTGACAAATAGATAAGATATTAAGGATTTTATAGCACAGGTGAATACACTCGAACAACTTCTTTACCATTGCCCGATAAATCATCTTTTCAAAACATGAATTTCAGGTAAAAAAAAAGGCTATTATTCTACATTAAGATTTAAATCATCGACTCAAGATCATTTTAACATTATCAATAAGACTAAAAATTACAAATTGTCGTTCAAATTCGAATCAATTTCACTTGCGTAATAAATATTAATATTTATAAACGATACAGACTGTTAAAATAGCGACAAATATATATTGTTAAAATACGTTGAATTTTTTATTAAGAATCGAAGTGATCAATGCTTCTTTAAAAGAAAAAAATTAGAAGTCAAAGTTAATTGGAATGGAGAAAATATGAGGACAATGTATGGTTCGTTTTGACTTAGTCGAGCCCACGTGTATTACTAATTAAATAATTAAGGATGATTTTATAGGAAAAGATATTTCGTGAAGCTGGCGAGAAGTTGCACTCGCTAATGTACACTACAGAGGGTAGATTAGGAGGGAAAGCTGCTTGCCGGTATGGCGAGGTCCATAATTCAAGAAGGTAAACCGCGCATCCACCTTAAGATCTTTGGAATTTTGGAACCCGCGGCTTATGTGTGCGATACGGACCTGGACGCCCTGACACATCGCAACATCTAGGGGCTTACGTACGTACGCATGCATGGACGTACGAGCGTGTGGGTAGCGTGTACTCACACGTGCGCGCCTTGCAACGGGGGAAGGGGCAGAGGACGAGCGAGAGAGAGAGAGAGAGAGAGAGAGAGAGAGAGAGAGAGAGGGACGAGGGCTGATAGCAGACCTCAGATAGCTATACCTGTAGAGACGGCAACCTTGTACGTGCACAGGGCGTGGCCAGGGTCCGCCAATCGGAGGTCGAGGAATTTCTCTGAAAGCCCGAAATCGAAGCGAGTAAAAATTTTAGCGGCCGTGTCAAACGCCAGAGAGCGCATATAAGGGGATCAAGTCGCTTGATCTCGGCTTACATTTTCTTTGCTTCATGTATGTATATCCTTGGAGAGAACACTTTTTCGAACCTAACACCCTCCCCCCGCTTCTACCATACTTTTCTTAGGATTTGCCTTCGTCAATTTCATCTCTTCTCGATTTCTTTGGGCTCTACGTACTTGTTCGTCTTCTTCAGAACCTTCCCCGGCTTTCCCATTTTAGCCTGACAATTTTCCCATTTCTATTGAATGAAACGTCCCTACTTTTACTCTCCACATTTCGTTTTTCGCACTTTATGCATCATTCGATACGGCAACACCAATAATTGCTATATTGTTAAATTATAGCAAATATTAGGCCAAAAATCTTTAGATATTATTATTATTGTTGTTGTTGTTGTTTTTATTATTATCATATGCATAGTTTATCAGAACCACCATCTAATCTAGCAGAATAAAGAATACATTAAAAAGATTTGATTTTCATGATTCTAAAGTATTCTTATTTTTACCAAATACATTTTCTAAAATTTTAATTTCCCTATTCAAATCATATTTCACTTGATGTTTCTAGAATCGTATAGAATTTTAAAAACATAAATAAAATACAGATACACGTGCACATGACTGTGCCTGTGTATACGGAGGCGCGCCCGTGAATTAATAGATAAAACAGAAGTAAACAATAATTTCTGAATTCGTTCTTATTATCCTGAGATGTGGCTAAGGATATGTAATTTTATTGAACGTTGATAATGTAATATCATGTTCATAGACATTTAAATTACATATTTATTGAATAATATTTTATTTACCAACACGATATACGATATTCTAATGTTAAAGAACTGAAAATAAATTACAACCGAGAAGAAAATGATTTAAAATGTGTAATATATTTTTAAACACTTGAACATGTATTAATAATCTGAAAAATAATAAAAAATGTAACGTGAAAACTATTTTAGTCTTTGTGGTTCATATTAATATTGTTTGATCGACATTATTATTTTTATAGTTTTTACTTATTCTCTTTTAAAAATCCTTTCTATTTTCATTCCTTTATTATAATTTTAAAAGTTTATCGAATACTTACAAATGCATCAATTCGTTTTTTAATATTTAAATTTAAATTTAAGTTTAAATCCTATTTTTATGATAAAAAAGAACTTTTCTATCTTGTTTTAAAACATCTTCATAATTATCGTTATTATTTTCAATCTTATCATTTCTGAATCATTTCAAAAATTTCTGATCTATTCAGTTAAAATAATCGTCATTACATGTATTAAATTAAACTTGTGTTTAAATTTTTTTAATCTCTCATACAGCAAAATCATATTATGTACTTCACATGTAAATGAAGTGAAGTAATAAAATTTAAGAGAGAGAAAAAAATTGGCAATTAAAAATGGTTCGAATGCTTCGATCTATATTTAATTAAATTATATAAATAATATTTAACTCCAACAACATTGTTCCATAATATTAAAATTATTTTAAAAAAGCAATTCAATGTTATTATA